GGTTTTCAGAAATTACATCTATAATAGTGAAAAGTAGGAACAAAACGGATGGAAATACAACCCACTAGAAAAGATAAATAAGCTAGCCCGATTCATCTCAGTAAGAGATTCATTTCCAAAAATAACTGACTTTAGATTTATTAATCACTTAAAATTTAAAAAAAACATTTCATTTGTTTTTAAAATTGGGTTCTAATAATAACCATAATAATGTAATTCTGAAGAAATTTTTAAATACTTACGTGACTTATGTTCACATGAAATACTTATGTAACTTGTGGTTACATGAAATAAGAATAACAAATAGCAATTTGTATTCAGAATGTTGCTTGAAAAATACGATTGTGTTATCAGTAAAAGACTTTTAAGCACAAGTATATTACATAAAAATAATATTCTGTGAGGATGAAAATGGATTCAAAGAGAAAAAAGCAATGTAAAATTGATAGCTATTAAAAAAGTTATTTATAAAGGCTAAATTTTATATAGTATATAAATATCACTGGATATACTTAAGCTAATAATTTAATAAATTATTTAAATTTTTTAGGATTAAAATGGGCTGGAAATTAAATTCTTTACAACTATCTGAATTTAGGATAATTTTTAAAATATCAACTCATCTTCAGTGTTTCCAGGTCAATGCATGGACCCCGATCTTAGTGCACTCAGCCTGTGTTGAATTCTACAAAGGATAATCATCTTGTGTGTATCAGACACAGCCACCCTGAGTCTTAAGAATCACTCTTGGATCATCGAATTCTCCCACAGTCTTAACCCTTTCCACTCCAGTAAACATTCTTCTTGATGGCTGATATCATAAATTGCACATGTGACTAGGGCTGCATATTTGTGTGAGGCGTGGAGCAACATATTATGCAGAGGTCAATAACTCTGCTTTTCTAGTTAGGATCCGGATTCTACATCTTTGGAGCTGGTTTTTGGACACTTCCGGTTTTTAACTTTTATGTGCCTCATTTGTTTAAATTCTGAAATGGGCATAATCATAGCGGCTACTTCATTGGGTTGCTGTGCGGAATGAATATGTTAGTACATGTGAAGTGTACAGACATGTGATTAATACGTAGGGTTATATTCTCATTAATTTTCACACAGGGCTTGTAGAGTTGCTCATCACATTATAGACACCTCTGTAAGTCAGTATCTATGCATACTGTAAGACTCACTGAAACTTAGTGAATGTATATTTTCACGTTTTTTAGATTTGCTAATTTGACATTCAATATATTTCCATGCAAAATACCTTTAATTTCATACAATGTAAGCGTTTTGTGTCGTGTTTCCATTTCACTTGAGTAAAAAGTTTATCTACCTTATTTTTCGAACTATTTTTTTGTAACCAAAGACATATTGTCCATAAGAAATGTGAAGCCTCTTCACGGCTGTGAAAGAATGACTTACGGTTTGTCTACTTACGTTGGAATTTAAAAAGTTACCAGATTACTTAGTGAGTGATCAGTACTCCCTTTTCCTTTGAATAGTGGTTTCTAATCTTGTGGTAAAGAAAGAACTGATTAGTTTCCTCAGGGAGTGAACAGAGGAATCTGAGTCAGAAGCTCAGATTTAAATCTTCTGTTAGGTGTGAATGGCAGCCTCTTACCTGTCTCTAACCTCCTTCACTTTCTCTACAGCCGTCACAGTGTGTCCCTTGCTCTTGGCTAATTTCATTTTTCCCCAATGTTACAGGCTAACCTGAGTGATTAAAGATTGAGCCTGCATGTTGTATGTGCACACACACTGTGTCACCTGATCCAAATTATTGGTCAGGAAGTCTCATCACTCATGTGACTTTTCAAGGAGCAGATACAATGTTTGGAGAGTCCAGTGCTTTCTGCCTTACTCACTGCCTGCAGAGCAAACTCATGTAAAAATCTGTTTTGCTGTTGAAATATTGAAAAGGAGGGTGCTGTGTAGCAATGACAACATTGTATTGGAATGATTGATATCATCATGCAATAATCCTTCTACCTAAAGCATTAGCATATGCTTCATTTGACCATCTCATTTGACCTGGAAAATTGAACTGGAAAAGGAAGCAAGACAAATATTAATGTTATAAAATCAGGAAATTATTTGCTTAGGATCTTTATAACCGTTTTGTGGTGGACATAGCCTTGAAAGCAACGTGCTACTCGATTTGGAGGGCATTTTGCCCATGCAGTGCCCATCAGCATGACCAGTCCAGTGTGGGCATGCGAGGGGCTTATTAAAGCCCATTCCTCATTCACTCAGGAAGTGTTGCTGAGTGCCTGTGTCCAGGTGCTAATGGTCTGGGTGCTTTTTTTTTTACCCTCCTACTTCAGGCTCCTAAATAGCTGGGACCATAGGCGTGCATCACCATGCATGGCTAATTTCTGTATTTTTTTGTAAAGAGCAGATCTTGTCATGTTGCCCAGGATTGTCTCTAGCTTCTGGGCTCAAGTGATCCTTCTGTCTTGGCTTTCCAAAGTGCTGGGATTACAGTAGTGAGCCACACTGCCCAGCCAAGGGTCCTTTTTTAAAAATTAATTTTAAGAAGCAAGGTTATGCTCCTGTATTTTATTGAAAGTTAATCTGGTGCTAGCTAATAAATACTTTCATTTCAAAGCAAAGCCTGGTTGATCTTTATGTCTTTCTCTGAAAGATATTTAAACCCTCTGTGTTACTTCTTCCTAAGCGAACCAGATCCACTTGTTATAAGGTTTTTTTGTTGGAGAAATTGATTCCAGTCTTTTTATTTGTTTTTAACTTGTGGAGGCCTTTAATTCATGTCATCTCCTTTAATATGTGCAGGCTCCATGTCCAACATATTATTGAAAGACTCTGGCTATTGAATTTCTTTTTCTTGTTAGTGTGACTTTCTGAAAGCTCAGTATTTGATATAGCATTATAAGCATTTATTCTTTAACAAGATCTATTATTCCAAATTTCCCCTAATTATGAAAGTTGTTTTGGTTGTCACATTTTATATATTTGATAAGAATTTTTATATTATATTTCTAGTTATTAAAATTTAAATTATCTTACTTTTAATATTAAGTAAAATACTATTATTTAAATATTGTTAATGTGAAATTTCTATTTAAAAGAATATTAGTCAATTAAAAATAGTATTACTTAATTTTCTTAAATTAGTTTCCAATTAACTCAAATAATACACAGAGGCATCTTAATTATAAAAGATTCAAGCAATACATACAAAGTTATATGAAGACCTTCTTTACTCTTTTCATCTTTTTTTAATCTACTAATTTTCCCAGAAGTGCCAGGATTAATAGTTTCTTGTGTTCCTTTTGAGACTTCTCCTGAATTGGTGCTACATATATCATACACACACACTCACATAGACTAATACACTGATTTCTAAGGACCCTCATTTTTTATTTTTAGTGTAAAACATGGACTAAATCAGGATTCTCTCACTATTTTTTATTTGTCATTATTTGCACCTAGTGGCCCTTATAAATATGGAGACATGAGTTGTTCTCAGGTTTTAAAAATCGATTTCTGTAATTATTTTGACTTTCCGTTGGCACTTCTCCCATGGCCATTTCTAAGATTTTGGAGCATCCTTTGTGCTTCTAACTCTCAAGCCCTTTCCATATTGGAATCTTTTGACTGGTTTACTGGGAGAATCTTTTAAAAAACAGCTCAACTAATTCGCTTTCAATAGAGTGCATTCTACTTTTTAGATCACCCATGGATATTTTGACAATTGTATTTAAATAATTCTGAGATCAGCAGCTATTTATTTGTGAGGTACATACCATCTTCTCTAATGTCCTCGTTGTCATTAGTGTTACTTGTTATATTTATTAATTAGGCTGCTGTTGTGTTCCTGCTTCTCTCAGCTGACTTTGGTGCATTTTACTCCGGGCACAGTGTTTGCTCAAACGCGTGTGCATTTGTCTTTTCCTTTGAAAATGCGTGTCCATTTGGCCATTCTGTTTACAGGAGTCAGTCGTGGGTAGCAACTGCAAGTGAGGGCTGTTTGAGGGCTGCTAGGATGGATTCGTTCTTAGTCTGATGCCAGCAGCTCCCCGGGCACGCTCCTCATTCTCTCCCTCAGGAAATCTCACTTTCTGCTTTCTCAGGGGCAAATGCTCTTCCTGACTATGGCTCCGAAAAGGGGAAGAGGACGTAGGGGTCAATAGGGTCCAGGTGCTTCCATTGTCATTATGGTATTAATCACCCCCAACAACTAGAGCAGTTTTTATCTGTGGAGCCTTAACTCTGAGCTCCTCAAAATCCATGTCTAGTCAATGGCATTTTTTTCCTAATTGTCCTTTGGATGTCTTCTAGGCTGTTTTCCCCATATTCTTTCTTTGTTGGCTGAATATGCTTTTTCTTTTAGGAATGCTGCAGCCCTCCTGCTATGGGTTGAATACTTATGTCTCCCCACAATTCGTACACGGGTGCCCTAGTCCCCATTGTGATGACATTTGGAAACAGGGCCTTTGGGTGAGGATGTTATGAGGCTGGAGACCCCACGGTGGGATTGGTGTCCTCCTAGGAAGAGCACGAGAGCAGGATTCCTCCCTGCTCCCCCTGCCATGTGGGACACAGGAGAAGACAGCACGTCTCACCCAGGAAGCCGCGTTCACCAGGCCCCAGGTTTGCCAGCTGTCTGGTCTTCTCAGCCTGCAGAACGCTGAGAAATGAATGTGTGTTGTTTAAGCCACGCAGTCTGCGGTGTTTTTTGTTATAGCAGCCTGACCGACGTAGAGACCTTCTTACACTCTTTCCCGATTGTTTTCCATGTTCTCTGTTTTAATTCTATTATTTATGAGAGGCAGGATAGAGTGATTTGCTCACTCTGATTTGTTGGCTGGTTGGTTTCTGCCCTGAATTTTTCAGAGTAAACACACGGCACACCACCGAGCTGTGCATTGTTTCTTGGTGAACTGGCTCCCAGCCCAGTGGGGTGGAGACACAGGCTGCGGCCTCTCCTCACGGTTCCCAGTTCTGTGCATTCTTTTCCACCCCAGAAGATTCAAGAATCTTAGAAATCACATATGCCCAATTCTAAATGAGTAATTGAAGATTAACTACTCTTTCCTGGGGGAGTTTACATTTTTAAAAGAATCTAAGTCACGTCTTAAAGCAATGCATGTGCTTACAAGCAATCTGGGGAAGTTACAGGCAGAGATGAAGGGCTGGGCGCTCACACGCAACGCTGTGGTTGTCTCGGTGTGTGTTGAAGGTAAGGAACATCCCTGCTCATTTTCAGGCTTTGATTTACATGTTCTCCACAGGTTCTTTTGTCAGAGCAAAGAGGTCTTGAGTTATTCTTGCTCAGTCAAAGGGGATAAACGTATCATTATTATATCTTTACATACTATTCATTATTAATTACATCCTGGTGCTATTCTGGAAGGCCACAAAAGTCCAGAGAGTGAATATTAGTTGAAAATTTGTTATTACAAGATTCAAAAAAAGAAATATTTTGATAAACTCACAACGTATTATTATAAACATAATAAGCTTTTATATTTTAGAGTTTCTGAAAACACATGGTTTTTTATTTCTTACTATTATTGATTATGCTCAAGATAACTTGGAAATCAGTTGGTCAAATGCCCTAATTTAATAGACGAGGAAATGAAGTTAAAGACATAAGCTAGGTGAAGCATGCTCACTCAACTAGCCACTGGTTGCAAATGGAAAGCAAATTCTCACCCTAGCCCCCAGGTCTTCATTCCTTCCCTCCTGGCGTGGCACACAGGAGCATTGCCAGTGGAATATTTGCCCCTAATCAGGAATTATTCCAAGGTGCAAATCTGAGTGTAAGAAATTAAAGAAATTATTTTGTTTTCCATCAAATCTCTTTAATAAACTTTAAAAATGTCATTTCCAGTAACTTGTGCCTGATTTCTCTGGAACAGAAAGACGGCAGAAAGTAAAACAGGAAATACGCAGGTAGACTTCAACTGGTGGAATTGTTTTAACAAATACTGTTTAACAAACAGTGAATAGCACATTATATTTTTACTACGTGCAGTTTATGTTGTATTTTTTACATTTTACTTAATGGCCTTTGACTTTTCTGATACTTTTTGTAAACAGAAACAAAATAATGGGGTACTTATTCATAGAACTAGGTCACCCCTCATATTCATTGCCACGAATTACATAGTAGTACTTAAATGTAACAATCATTTTCCAATCATAAGTTGTAATTATACATCATGTGGGGACTCTTTGCTAAATGTTAATAAATTATTTAGAAAAATGCTCACAGGGAGGAAGAGTTATGGTAACTCACTGGAGTTCACTTGCTTCTTAGATATCATATGGAATTAATGTGATGACCCAAAATGTGAATGTGACTATGTGTATGTGTATGTGTGGTGTGCCAGTGTGTGTCTGAGAACACAATTTATGCAATCTGGAAAATGTCAATCTTTCAGAATGATAAAGGAGAGCACAATTTATGCAATCTGGAAAACGTCAGTCTTTCACAATGATAAAAATGTTTAAATCGCATTTTAAAAACTCAGCAATTTGACATAAAGTAAAACAAAACAGTGGAAATTATATTAACAATAGCTTAATTAAGTGCTTATTATATGCTAGGCACTTTCCCAAACTTTTTTATTTTTAAATTTAACGCATTCCATCCTTACACTACAGGACAGACATTTTCATTACTCCTGTGTTAGATGGGCATGGAAACTTGCACAAAGTCAAATACCAGGGAGGTCATGAAGCTGAGGTTTCAGCCGACGCTATCTGACCTCGCCATTCCAGCCTTCAGCTGTCTCCGGGCTAATGCTCGCAGGTAGCCTCACCCGCTTTACTTTCCTAACCAGCAGCCAATATTGTCACCAGAAGCCCAGGAGTACTCAGGATTTTATGTTCTTTAAATTGATGTGGCAGTGGTGGTGGATTTTTTTTTTTTTTTTTTTTTTTTTTTTTTTTTTTTTGAGACGGAGTTTCACTCTTGTTACCCAGGCTGGAGTGCAATGGCGCAATCTCGGCTCACCGCAACCTCCGCCTCCTGGGTTCAGGCAATTCTCCTGCCTCAGCCTCCTGAGTAGCTGGGATTACAGGCACGCGCCACCATGCCCAGCTAATTTTTTGTATTTTTAGTAGAGACGGGGTTTCATCATGTTGACCAGGATGGTTTCCATCTCTTGACCTCGTGATCCTCCTGCCTCGGCCTCCCAAAGTGCTGGGATTACAGGCATAAGCCACCGCGCCAGGCCCTGTGGTGGATTTTAAAATTTTTTTGTAGTGAATTCATTTGTTAGCTACTTTTTGATAATTTAAGCAATCTACCTGGTTAATTCTTTTCCCCCACCTGAGTGTTTCATCTTAATTTCTTTCTCTTTAATATATTCTTTCTTTGGTAACAATGAATGACTAACATTTATTGTCCCATGATCTACAGTCTTGATTTTGTTTTCATTGTATTGAAATTATAAGGTATGTGTACATTGCATTATCTAATTTTAATTTGGACAATGTTTTATACATATATATATATTCTTAGTAAATACCTTATTAATTTAAATCAGCTTTTGGAAAGAACTTTGCCAATATGATATCAGTATCTATTCATCAATCAATAAAAAAAGTTTTGCACCATTTCCTCAAGTGGATGCAATATTCTTAAAGTGTCAGTCATGGAGCAGGTCTTTCTTTGTTTACTGTTGAATCCGTCCTCACTGCTTCTCACATACTCTGGCATAGCAGGCATTCAACAAATATCACAACAAATGAACCCATTGCCTGCATTTGCCTGCAACTATTGTATTACCTGTGCACTTTATGACTTGATTTAGATGATTTTAAATTCTGAGATCTTTCCTTTTTGATATTTTGTACTAAAAAACAAAGAGTATAGGTAGCAAATTGCCTCTGACTAGGATCCTACACTCTTTTTTATAACATAAAATTGTGATGAGGATTCAAATTAGTATTTTTCAACTATCAATTATAGTAACTGGGACATGATGGGGCTTAAATAAATGGAGCTATTATTATTAAGAGGTTAAAACAATCAATAAAACATGAAAAATGTTCTCATGTGAAGTACTATGGATTGGGGAGCACTGCACTGCGTTGGACATAGCAGGCTGAATCTACACACACTTCCCTGCGCACACCTGGTTGTACTGCTGGACTTTTGATCTTGGGAAGCTCCAATAGCATAACCTACTTGATGGGATCTTGGTGTGCATGTCATGAAAGCTGGAAATCTGTTTCTCATCCAGCAGGTCCCAGCTCTGTCCTTGACCATTTCTCTCCAGCATACTGTATGTCCTGCCTTCTCTGTTGAGGGGCTGTGGGGACCCGATTATTCTCTAATCTTTCCTCCCTTACAGATCTACCAGGTTTCAAGAGTGTACAGGAGTCTCTCTTCAGAGAAAATCCTTCCCTATCTTGTACGCTGTGCTAAGGATGGTCCTGATCTCCTTACACCCCAGCTTCTCTTAATGAGCCGTCGAATGGTCCATATTTGACACTGCCCTTCTTCCTTCCTATTCCCTTCTTCTCTCACTCTACCATGACCTCATCACGCCTCCAGCGTGCTGTCACTAGTGCCTGTTCGAGGACTCAACCCAAAGGACACTCTCTTTCAGTAGACTTTCTTTTGTTGGCCTTCAATAATCAGGAAACTACTTTGTGTTGGAAACATGTTCTCCTCTCAGCCTCTGTGACACCCCATTATCTGACCCTGCCACTTATTTGACTGTTTCACTTATTTTCCTTGTCAGTTATTCATTCCTTATTGTGATCCAAATACCAGAGATTTTTAGGCCTTAGTCCTGGGCTTTCTGCACACTTTCTGCTCCACTAAGATGGAATTAATTCAGTATACATAGATAAAGATGTCTTGAGAGGTAACATGGGATTTCCTCGTTATTATTGTAAGTTTGGGAGTGAATTTGAGCTCCTTCCATGCCCCACCCAGAACCTTACTCTTTGATTTTCTGCTTCTGTTAGAAGTCTGACCTCTACATCCATGAAAACAAACTTTTCTTTAGAAGGGCATGGCTGAAGCATCCAAGTGTGCCTGCACTTTACACCTTGGTCCCCACTATCATGCGTTTTCACCTTTGGCTTTTGTGATCCCAAATTGGGAACATCCTTCTATTCCTGTTGCATTTCGGCACATCACTTACAGTCCAGAACTACAGTGAATGCAGGTCATTTTGAATCTTGAGTCCAACATCCAACAGGGTCCTTATTCTCCGTGCTTAGTTACATGTACATTGGAAAACCATGACTTTGGTTTTATTAAAATCAAGGGGAAAGGACAAAGTGAAAGAAGGCTAGGCGAGAGTGCAATGATGCTTCACCAGAGGCTTCGTGTTAGCTGATACTGAGGCCTTAAGACCTCCCAGAGAAAGCCGTTCAAAACGGTGACTAACAACAGATTTTATTTTGTTGTCATGTCTACTTATCATAGCCTAAACATAACAAACATTTACTGGGCAGTTATGTACAAGGTGTCATTATAAGTGCTTTTATATGTCCAAATCCACTTAATCCTCAAAGCACATCTAGAGCAGGTGATATGATTAATAATTACACACTTTTACAGATAGAGAACCTAGAAAGATTAAGCAACTTAACCAGGACCACAAGGTTAGTGACTAGCAGAACTGAGGTTTGAACCCGGGCAGTTTTAATCTAGATCTTGTATTCTTAACAAATGTGGCCCATTGCATAGTTGCTGTAGAATATTCAGAAGTTTATTTTCTTTAAATACAGCCAAGAATTATTTTTTCTTGGAAACTATAACCACTTATTCAGCTAGGGCGATTTAATTAAGTTTTCAAATAAATTAAACCAAAAAATGATTATTGTTTATTTAGACCATTTGGGGAAAAATGACCTTTCAAAGGTCACAAAGCTAACTTCTATGCCTCTGAATATTTTCAGAGTAATTTTTTTAATGAATAATATTGAAGTTTTTCTAAATTTAACACTTCTCTTAAATTTGGTCAGTTTTTTTTCTTGTTTTTCTGGCACACACACACCTTGGATCTCAATTGCCATGTCTTAAATGTTGCTTTGTACCTGGTCTGGTATTCCATTTTGAGGGCAGTGCTGTCTGGGGACACGAGGCTCATCAGCTGTAGGTGCTCTTGCAGCAGTTTCCTGATGGTAATAGATCATCTAAGTGCTGCTCTTCCCAGTGCAGCTGTTCAGCGATTATGTTTTATAATCCAGCTGCTTTCTGTTGACACT